TCTCTCTCTTTATCTCTCTTTCTCTTCGTTTATTTCGCCGTCCGCCACTTTGTTCGTTCTGTTCTCGCGAGGAATCTCGGCGGCGGAGAAGGCGGGGAGGAGCAGGAGCGGGTGGATGATAGGGACGAGTACGAGGAGAGTCCGGGAAATCGCGGGAAAAGTGTTCAAGCCGACGATTCACTCGGAGGCGCAGCCAGTTTGATCGTTACGCCTTACTTGGCGAGAAGAGCTCGCCCGATTTCCGGATAACGAGAGTGGGAAACTTCTCGCCGGAGGAAGAAGTCTCGACACGCGAGTGTCGGCGCTAGCGAGACCCGGCTTTTAAATATCGCTCGGATCCGTTCGCCAGAGAGAGAGAGAGAGAGCTTCTGCGAGACCTCTTGCCCGCAGTTTTACCGCGAGCGGGTGTCCTTATTCCGACCGCTTAACGAGTCTCGTTATCTCGCGGCGCGATCGAAGCCTTGAGGACGTCAGGCGCGTCGATGACACCCGCACGGGAACGTCGTTCACGCTGCGCGCGATGTTGCAGTCTCACGCAAGACTCGGAATACAGTAAAAAAGAAAAATCCTTAACACGAGTTCTCGCGACTCGAGTCATCCTCGACGTATCTTCCCAGCTGGTTCGTAAAAATTCAGTTATCGCATGGCATCGCACCACCTTTGCGTGTACTCTTTCAATATTTCTAGTACGCCGAAAGAAATTAACATCAAAATTCGGGATTCGTATTCTCACGTATAAACAACAAACAAGGATATATAATACGAATATAAAATTTATTTACATTAAAAAATTCTATATAATTTTACTATTTTATAATAAATACTTTGAGTTTCTGAATATTATTTTCAATATTTTATTATCTGGGTATCAATATTTCACTATCCGACGAATATGGCGACATATATTTATAGCGATATAATTTCGTAACGAGCACAATATTAAAGTGTACAACAAACTGGTCTCGCAGACCGATTGAAGCGAGATGCGATTTTCACGCGGACCGGACATAGGAAATCGTCGATTGGCTTCGATGGCGAAACTTCGACGAAGTTCCGTTGTTCCGACGCACGGAGCGTAAATTTCACGGTGAAAGATATACACGCGCGAAATAATCGTGATGAAAAGATAGTTCGGATTTGAATGATCGGATTCTCGGGAGAAAAATTCCGCTGGGCGGGGCGCCGCAAGCGGCAGCAGCAGCGCTCGGCCGTATTCCGCGTTCGTGCCGCGTCCATTGTGCGTGGATAGTTCGCTGCGAGAGCGATATTCCCGGGTAATTAGACGGAGGGAAGGTGGAGAAGAGGTAGACTTTGCGCTCGTGAAACGCCATTACAAATTTAGATGAGATGCGCGCGTGTGACGACGCATAATTCGCGCTATCGCGGAAAATATAGCTACGCGCGCTTTTACACCGTGCCCCCCCCCCTCCCCCCGTTCGTAGTCGTTGCCGTCGTAATCGTAGTCGCACTTCTCCACGTCGTCGTCATCGTCGTGACCATCAAGAGTGACAGAAACGCGCGAATACGTCGGCGCGCGAACGCCGACGGAGCCGAAGGAGATACGCGCAGAATTTAATTTCCGGTCGCTACTGTCGGTTATCCAAGACCGAGCGCCGTTGAAACGAATACTTATATCTTTACGGCAAAGTGTCTCGACTTCCTCCGTAGGATTAATGGCGTCATTGCCCGGCGATACTTAACACAATGTTGGCGCGGGGATCTTATTCCTGCAATTTCAGCTCGCCCTCGTCGTACTCCTCGTCCTCCTCGTCGCAGTCCTCGTCGCGGGGACGCCGCGCGACTTTAATGGACTTCGAGCTCACTTTTACGCGCTGATCAATCATAAACGCCTACCGAAATCCGTCGCTCGATCTCCGAGCGTATAAATGATAAATTCAACGTTTCAACGTCGCTCGCAGTAAACGCTTCTTCCTCCTGCCCCGCCGCTCGAACCGTCCTCTCCGGGTCACGCGGCGGTCAAAAATTCAATTAATTGGCTCGGCAAAAATACAAATCAATTAATAGAGATAAAAGAGGTAAAATAAAAGTTACATCTCGATGGGAGCTCTTGTGTCGGTGGTGCCAAGTATAAATTCGGGGGAATACAAAAGAGAGACGGGAAATAACTATGGTGGGAAAATTCTCGGCACGTGAATCACGAGAGCATGACAAACAAATTTGATATCACCGCACAATTGTAGTCATATTTTCCCCGACAGCAATATTTTTTCGCCGATAAAAATGTAGGCAATGCGATTAACATTATTGAAGTTCGGCGAGANGGGGGGGGGGGGGGGGGGAATTAAAAGTAATTTTTTTTTCACAGAGAAAACTTCAATATACAAGAGCGAATACGTGTGGAGAACAATGAAATTACATGAGAATGGCAATCATAAGTTAAATAAACGACCAAAGTTGTAATTAAAATATTGGCAGTATAATAATAATATAGAGTTACATTAGCAACGAAATTATAGTAGCTTTTGTCACAAGAATGACTTTCCCGGGCAAATTGATACGATTGAACGTGTACAACATACATTTCTGCGTCTGGTCAGCCGTTATCTAACCAATTAATGGCGATGATTTGCCAAGAGTATTGAAATAATTATTCACTTGGATCTCACACTCTTTCCCGCGTACGATATTTCTGCTCCAATTACGTGTGCTAAAGGATAGCTTCCCGCTGTAAGATTGTTATTATAAGCATTTCGCTGTGCGTGATTATGGTCGGAAATACAAACCTCTCAGTACGCGTTCGCACGTTTCACCGCGAATCGCGGGTCGAACTGGTCGCGAACTCTCCGACCGATCAGACGCTCGGGGGGATCTCGCGAGAGGAAGGCCGTCGTTTTCGCACTTTCTCGCTGGCGCGTGAAACCCCGCGATTACACCTTGCAGGTAACCAGGGGTGGGGGTGCGATTTCACTCCCGGCCGAGTGCCTCCCCCGCTCTCTTCCTTCTCCCGACTGTGCCGATAGGGGGCTTCGTCGTGAAGATTGTTCGTCGACCGGGGCGATCGAAGACGACGAGAGGGTCCGTGCTGGGTACTTAAACGCGTGATATATGCGATATACGCGGCTTAGTACTGCCCACAGGTACTCGCCGGTGTACCTGCCCGCTCGCGCGAGCCGTGAAGATCGCTCTGCCTCTTCCCTTTTTTCTCTCTCTCTCTCTCTCTCTCTCGCTCTCTCTGCACGCGCGTTCGCCTACTTTACATCCCGGTGAGTAATGCACCACAGTCCCGGCATTAAAAGCGCCAGTTACGTCGGCTTCGCCGGCGGCCACGGCGACCGTCGTGGCGCAAAACCGTACGACCGGATGATAGACGAGCGGGCATAATGGTAATAATACTCCATTAAAGTGGTCCTTGGGAGGGAAAAAATAAAGGGAGGAGGGAGGGAGGGATCTCGCGGCGTCGACGGGACGATTACGCGGAGCGTTCTCGCGAGTCGCGAAATCGCCGGCCGTCAAATTGATACCTCGGCGCGGCAATTATCGACGCGACGCGATCGATGTCGCTTTCAGCCGATGCTTCGCGACTTTGTTAACCTTCGAGCGGATATAGTGGAGAAAATGCTACCGTTCAAGTAATGTTTATACTTGGCCCAAGTGAAATGGTTACTTCGGTACTTGGCAAATATTTATTTGATGCAGAAGCATAATTAACTATATGCAATACGATGTTTTCTTTATTGGAAGAACAAAAGATTATATTTAAGTAAATATTTTTGTTAAAGGGTATTAGAATAATTATTTAATTGGATTAAATAAATATTATTTGAATGTAACGTATCGAAAGAAAAATGCTGCTCTATTTGCCGCTTATTTTGTCACATTTTGCTGGTAGATCTGGGCACGTCGATGCTTCTTCTCGTTTCTTGCGAGACCTCGCGACACGACTTCGCGGATTCGAACGAACGCTCGACGGTTCGTGTCCTGGGAGAGACTCGCAGCCCGGGCGAGTACGTCGAGGAAGAAACCGCGTCTTTAATGTCGAGGGGTAAAAAAATAAGTGTGCACGCGCAGCTACCGCCGATAAATCAAACTCATCGAGACCCAGATTTTTTTTACGGCCGCTTTCGACACTCGCGCGTGTGGGGATGAAAGACGAGTGAACTAGAGAGAGAGAGAGAGAGAGAGAGAGAGAGAGAGAGAGAGGGAGAGCGGTCCAGATGGGAATTGCGCATATGATACGAATACGCGATCGGCACGGCCGCCGTTTGTCATTTTTATTGACACGCGAGAACTGTGCTAACAAGTGCGTCTTTCGTACATATGTACATCATAAGAGACCCGCCCCACCGCCGATCCCATTCGTTATATCATACATATTTTCCCGAGCGGGGCATGTCGAATTTCTCTTTCTCTTATTCTCGCCGAACGTCAAATCGATTAATTTTACACGCGCCTCGCGATGTGTTACACCACGTTGATCTCACGTCGCTCCAAGTGCACAAATGTTTCGCCCACGGGGTCAGCGAGCGGCGGGGGGGATTACTAATGCGCGAGAAAAATTCACGGTACTCACCCTGCCGGATATTAATCCCTCCGGAGAACAGTTCAATCGCATTAGTGCGACAATTGTGCATCCGACGCGCGCACGATATACGTATATCGATATCGAGTGTAGCGGAATTAATTTTGCTTTGCGGTCTGCCGGTAATATCGAGCATATTGCCACCTAATTTGCTAATTGAAGAATATTATGGTTTAACCATGCTCGATATAAGCGTGGCCGTGCACACCGGTGTCCATTGGGCGGATTCGGCGGCTCTCTTCGCTGAGAGATAAAGAGAGAGAGAACGCACGATGCAGTTAATCGTAGAATAGATACTAGAGTTGTATATTGAAAGAAAAACTATCCAATATCTGTGATTATAATTGTATAGTGAAATAATTACAATCAATGTAGTAAGAAATTTATCCAACGTAGACTGTGTTGTTGATTCTACAATTTATTAGAAAATAGCCGAGATATAAGCGATGCATCAACTTACCCCTACAGCCAACTAGCCCCGGTCTCCCTTATTAAGTCCCTTAAGGATTGCAGTGCAAAAATCGGGATTACCTGATTGAAAGAGCACATAATTAGTACATAATTTCTATATATTTATTTTGCTAAATATTTTATTATTTATAGATTGGGGGGAGGGGTGCTGACCGACTGTCCACTTATAAATTTAATTACATCCAGAACTCTCAGAAAACGAGCCGCGTACCGTCATCGCGAGATTCATCCCCACTCTTTCGATCTATCGTAGAATAACTCGCGATGCAACAAGGGATGCGCGCGCGTGCGTTCCACCATTACCGCGGAATTACATTCCGTTTTGACGTTATTATATCCTTAATCATGAGCGTAGCGCGCTCGTGCGGATAAGCGGAGCGCCGAGAACGCCGGGGAACTAATTTTTGCCCGGAGCATGACTTTTAAGTTATCGTAACTCCTGCTCGACGCCGAGGGAGAGTAAGTACAGCGTACACTCCTCCACCGAGCGGCCCCGGCATTGTTGCCTCGGAGTCTCGCGTTACACGTCTGCTTTCCTCCCAAGAAGTGTACCTACTAATTACTCCCCGCGTCAGTCCTCCTCGTTAGCTCCAGACGAATGCAGCGTTATGGAGAGAACACAGAGACGAGCGAGGAAGAGAAAGAGAGAGAGAGAGAGAGAGAGAAATGGAATCCCATGGATAAAGGTGGGCCGCGAATTAACGCGCGTTTGATCGACGCCGAGGCTGCATGGGGGAGGATGGGGCTAATGAGACTTTTCTGTCCGATCGTCTCGTCACGTAAATAACAGTGAGAGAGAAAGAGAGAGAAGTAGAGAGGGAGGGTTGGTCGGAGTTTCTCACGGCAGGCGGCCGCCGAATTCCCTCCTGTTCCGGCGAGATTCATTAGCCCGAGTATGAATAAAATATCGCAATTGTGTGAACACGCGGCGTCGGCGTCGGCGCCGCGGGCGAGTCGCGCAAACACGCGTCGATGTGTTGCGCAAACGTAAGCGAGCGGTCCGGTGTTCCTAGACGAGCGTTCCGTGCTCTCTCGCGCCGAGTCAGATAATTTATTGAAATATTGTTACGACTATACTGGCTAGAGAGGAAACAAAGCTCGCGGGAGAAAGAGAGAGAGGCAGAGACGAGGCGAGAATCTCCGTGAATCGACGACAACGACGACGACGTGGTCCTTCGCGAAATTGAATGTCGGCCTGGCGGAAGCAAATAGGTTGTCCGCGAGAGAATACCCGAGGACGATACCCTCTCCCCGGGAAAGCAAATACCGGCAATCACCGGCAATCGAGATAACCAGCGATCTAACACGATTCTCTCGGTTTACAATTACTCGCTCATCCGACTCGATGTTGACTCACGGCGATTGTTTCCTTCAACAAGTGCCTCTCCTAATTACTCGTCGACTGAGAGTCCTCGTTAGAGTTCCTCGCAGACTGCGGAGACCGGAGAGAGAGCTGGTAGTAAAGGAGCAGTCGGGGAAAATAGAAGAAACCGTCGTGACGAGAGGCGTGGGGGGCGAAGAGGGGAAGAGAGAAAGAGAGAGAGAGAGAGAGAGGGAAAAAGAGGTGAGCGGACGAAGCGGGTCGTGAATCAGACCGGAAGACACAACAAAAAGAAGGAGATGCGGGAATGAAAAGCGAGAAATGCGCTTGTTCGCTCGTTCGCCCGACGAGTGCTCGTATCACCGTGGATTCTTCAAATTTTTCTTTCGTCCCGCGTCAATTATGACCACGTCGCGCCGACAGACGGAGGCGTGCGCGAAGACGATAATGCGAGGGCGGAATGAAAAGAGCGAGGCGAACGTAAATTTAACGCTCCGCCCGGGAGAAAAGAGAGAGAGAGAAAGAAAGTACGCGCGAGTTTTCCTTCGCGTTCGCGGACATTCCCGTGGAAATAAACCCGGCTTAAATCCGTGCGGCGCGGTTCATTCAGAGAGCGAATGGAGACTTGACGCGCTGCTCGATCTATTCGGGAATTTTGAGATTTCTCGAGCTCTCTTGTTTCTTCCTTCGAATTATGATCTCAACCGAGAAAGGGAGGAAAGTAGATAATCTCATTAAAGTTACAATCGCATTTTTGTCATTCTGCAATCAATTACTTCTGCGAATCGTTGAAAATGCCACTGATTGAATCGGCAAAACAGATATTTCACTGATTCGCACAGTGCTATATTTATTACCGTACAGACCCACCGGTGATTATTAACTGCTTCTCAGTAATAATGCACCGATTGCACTTTAGGGAGCCGAGAATTGCATAGAAATAATTATAACCGGGAAAATCATTTCTAGTGAGTGCTAATATACGCGATTATTTATAGCTGCAAATACACAGCGATCATTATTGCCGGAAAAGCAATAATAATTATCGTCGGGAGAATTATTTCAGTAAGTCCTGCTATAATGTTAATGATAATAATTCTCTATTGCGTATTGCATCTAATTATAAATACATTCGTGTAGTGCAGTTAATTCTACAATGCACTCGTAGTCACAGATACCGAGTACTTTTCCCCCGGTGCAATTAAATCGGAGAATAATTAATTTCGAGGTGATAGAGTGAGATGCAAGAAAACAAAGAATGAACGGAACGGATCGCGCGCAAGAGCGTCGTCAGTTAAGGATTCCGTGTCTCCGGAGCGGCGCGTCGCGCGACTCCATCGGGAATGCGTTTGCGAGAGGAACAACGGCGTGTACAACGCAGTGTCATGGTACATACAGGACGAGCGACAAATCGATCGGGCGACATTAATGGTCGATGTATGTTTGTAGCGCCAGTAGAAACTGTCGCTAATGCCGTTTATGGGAGCCTCACTCACTCACTCACTCACTCACTCCGTCCGCTGCGTCTAAATATAATCGACGCTCGCGCGCGCCGTACTACGCCCTCTTCCTGCAAAAGGATGAGGAAGGGCAGGGGGAAGGGGGAAGGTGGAGGTATTCAGGCGGAAAGAAAAAGCCGAAGAAACGGCAGAACTGAGTAAATTATCGAGGCAGCCGGTCGTGTTTGTTGTAGCGAGGGTAATGATCGCAAAGCGAGGTGAGCGTTAAAGGGGCTCGTTCGTTGAAACGTACCGCGGAAGGAAGCGAGGAAGGAAGGAAGGCAGGCAGAAGGGCCGAGCGGAAGGCCAGGAATGAGTACACATCGGTGTCAAAGCGGCGATAGGGCCGTCTTTGTTGCGCCTCTCGGGACGCCGCGATTATTAAAATTGGCCCCTCCGCGGAAAACACTCGATTCTCTTTTTCTCTGTCTTCCTTCCTGCCGACAGACGATCGTGTCTCCAGGCGTTCCGCTCTCGGCACTTCGTTCGTTCGTTCATTCGTCTCCTTCGCTCTTTCTCTCTCTCCCTCTCTCTCTCTCTCTCTCTCGTTCGTGGCGAGCTGTGGAATTTCGCGAGCTTTGGACTCGTGTTTCCTGACTTGATTCGAGCGTTGGGCTTAAATTTATGAAGCAAATATAAAATATGATATAAAATAGACGTGAGGGTTTGCGCAATAGTTTGTCAAATATTTAACCATATGTTTTTTTTGCTAATGCACTAAGAGGAAAAATATCGGGAAAATACAGGATATTTATCCTCAGTGAGCATTGCTAGCCTATTTATTTACACTAATGTACATATTTTTACATTGGAACCTTTTTTCAAATATAATATAAAATAAACACGAGGATTTGCACAACAGTCCGTCACATGTTTAGCCACATTTTTTTGGCACGGAGAGAAAACATATCTGAAAAATACAAGATATTTATTCAGAGAATTACTAGTCTATTTATTTGTACTAGTATATACATTTTGCGTTGGAAAAATGTGTTAAAACAAGAAAATGTACACTTTCTTAAAATCACAGCTTTTCATGAAAAAGCAACTGTTCATATATTCTATTTAAATCAAAGAATTTAGATTCTTTATTAGCAAATATATTATTAGTACCCACACCGAACAAGTATCTTTTATTTTTTCAACATGTTATCTCCCAGTGTAATAACGAAACAGTAAACGTCGCCATTATCCGCAATCTTTCAGGCAATTGTCTGCATTCTCGTCTGTGAAACTGACTCATCTTCAGAGCCGATGAAATGAAAATCACGACGGCCTGCGCGTTTGCAGGCCCCTGATAAATTAGTTTCGAGTGAATGATGAATAATAAATCCAGTTCTCGATAAGCGAGCAGTAAGAGCTCCGGAATCTCTAATGAGGCCGGCGGCGCCTGACCTCCTGTTAGCCCGCGATTTCGGGACCCAGCCGGCCAGTTGCGATCAAAATTCCCTCCCTTACTTCGTCCCCCGTCGTCTCTCCGTATATGTATCCGGATATAACGCCCACTCACACGCACGATAACCCATGTCGACAGCGCGTACCCGCCTGATGCTTCTCAACGATACCGATATCTTCGCGCGAGACAAGCTCGGAAAGAGTCCTCTTCGCGTTTAAGAACTTCCGACCGCGTGGGAACTCCACCGTCTGGTCCGGCTTTTTTCAGGACGGGGAAAGAGAAAGGAATAAAATATACTCGAAAGAGAAAGAGGCTGAGGGAGGGAGGAAGGGAAGAACGGGAACGTAACCGACGTTTACGGGCGAAGACGCCAAAGTCTCGCGGAACGTGCGCCGACTTGGACGGGCTTTTACAGCCGGGTGTAGGGAACTCTGGCGGTATGCAAGGCGACGGTTATCGTCATCCTCGCGACCGCTCTCGCGCTTATACACCGAGCCGGCCGTCCTTTCTCGAAGAGACGATCCCGACGAGCAAAGGAGACTCTTCCACTACTTTATCCGCGCATTCATTCATTCGTGTACGACTGTGGGGGACGCGGAACGGGCTGTGTATCGAATGTCCCGTCGCCGGCTGATTGCCGCGATACCGGGAAAAGGCTTAACGAACGGATTGTTACTTCGTCCGACGGCGGACACGCGTACGAGAGAGAATGAAAGAGAGAGAGAGAGAGAGAGAGAGAGAGATGGCGGACCGTCACGTTCGCGGGAGGATGAATGTCTGACAAGCAATAAAACGTNCCCCCCCCTTTCTCAGTTATTTCTTTCTTCACTTACGTGTCAACGGA